GCCTGGTGATTTACAATGTATGCAAATTCTAAATTTGTTGTCATGATGAGCCAGTCAGACTGTCTGGGAGGATGAATGGATGGATGGATGATTTGATGATAAGTACACTGGAAAATATTGATTTAGCGTTTGTTAGTAATAGTCGCGACAAAAGCCCTTTCCAACGGTGAGCGTACCTGCCCCACCGGTGGTAGCGCAAAGCTTCAGCCACGGTGCAGAAGAGCCTGAAGGTTTTACACTGGCCCTCTATATACATGTAACTCACTCACCCTTGTTTTCGTTTTGTCGGACCACGGCTGTTTTCCACGAGGGTTTCGACGATTTCAGACAGAATGAAAAGAGTGACTGAGTGAGTTGGGTTTAACGCCGCTTTTAACATTATTCCAGATATATCACGACGTGTCAGCTTAATGTGGGAGGAAAGCCCGAAGTCATGCATGTCTCAGACGTTTACCACTTCGGTGAAACCCACGAGCACGGGTATGGTGCTGACAAACCTAGAAACATAATCGGGGCGAACCGGGACTCGAACCCACAATCATAGGTTTCTGGTTTCATAGCGAATCGCGGAGCCTTAGACGACTTGGCCACCCGTGCCCCCCAGAATGAAAAGAAATCATGACAAGATTGACAAGTAGAATCGGGACAAATAAGATGTTAGCAAGTATAAAGAAGAAACAGAAAAGTGAAGTTACTTTGAATAACCTTTGAAGTCAGAAAAGAAACGTCTCTCCATGGTTGTATATGCTCTATGCAGGAATAACGACAATGAATTAACACCTCATTATGAATCTGTAACTCTTGAGGTGATACCTTAAGTATATCGGCGCCAATGACAATGTCTAATCAAAAATAGAGTGGCACTAGTCGAAGGATATACAACAATCACGAGGTCTCCTAATACGTATATACTCACAATTGGTTTATTTTGTTGTGGAACTGATGTGTCAACGGGAATGAAAATAGAGATATGAAAATGTCACAATATGATAGAATCCTGGGCACCAGACATGTAAACAAGATTTTATAGCACTTTTACAAATATACGAGGAAGTCACATCTGATGCCGTAATACTGTCAGGACTAACGTTAATGTCTCCTGATTTGGTTGGTTGGTCTTTTGTTTAACGCCGTACTCAGCAATATTTCAGCTATATGACGGCGGTCTGTAAATAATCGAGTCTGGACCAGACAGTCTAGTGATTGATATCATGAACATCGATCCACGCAATTGGGATCGATGACATGCATCAACCAAATCAGCGAGTCTGACCACCGATCCCGTTAGTCGCCTCTTATGACAAGCATAGTCGCCTTTGACGGCAAGCATGGGTTGCCGAAGACCAATTCTACCCCGGATCTTCACGGGTCTAGTGTCTCATGAGAATGGACGGTTATTATTTTATAAGTATGTCATGAAACTGAAACTAGTCCACAAAACAAACACAATCTTTAAGAACTACTGATTTTTTTAATGAATTCAACTTACATGGATCAGCACCATGTTTTTGTCTTTCAACTGTTGTAGGTACGGAATAGGTACGGAATTCAGAGAAATACATTGGGGTAGTGAGAACGTACTTTAAAAATTTACCACAGTCACTTTGCATTTGCTACCCGTGAAGATCCGGGGTAGAATAGGTCTTCAGCAACCCATGTTTGCTGTAAGAGGCGACTATGCTAGTCAACAGTGGCGACTAACGCTCACTTTGTTGACGCATGTCATCGTATCCAAATTGCGCAGATCAATGCTCATGATGTCATTCAGAGGATTGTCTGGTCCAGACTCGATCACTGACAGACCGCCGTCATACACCTGGAATAGTGCTGAGTGTTGAACAACAATTAAAATAAAAAATGATTTGACACGGCTGGAATGACACGAAAAGCTCACTCATAATCACTATGTTTTAACCTTAATACTGTTCTGTGAATTTGTTACTTGAAATAAGCTTCGGCATGTTTCAGTGAATTGGCGTTCATGTTTTGTTTCCATAGAAACATTCCAATCATATACCACGCATTTTAGAAAATGCTATCATGGACAAATATATAACAATATATACGCAGCGTCTTTATCGAAGGGTTAGCCAGGGTAGTTGGGTGTGCCAACAAGCCTCAACCTCTCTTATTATCGTGACAAAGTAATTAACGGTTGAAAAACATGTTGTTTATGCCTATATCTTGATTGAATGTTTTTATGAGACTAACAAAATGAACAATGACACATTAAAACAAAAGTGCAAAATTCAAAACACACGCCTAAACGCAAGTTTGTTTGCTTGTTTGTTGTTTAACGCCGCACTTAGCATATTCCAGGTATTCCGTTAGTCGCCTTTCACGGCAACCTAAACGCCATCTTCCCGAGGCATGGGAGTTAACTGACTTTAAAAGTCCAGTTTGCACCCTTGCCGAACTAGGCTGGAATTCCTGGGGTCGATCGTAGCGCCACCAGTGGTTATTACGAGTTATGTCCCTTCTATGCCTCTACTATGGACCAATCAGATTCCACCTCTCGTATCACTTGCATTTGCTTCAAACAAAATAGTCAAGTCGATCTGATTGATAATCAAGATCTATATGTGGTTAAACGGGTCTTACATCGCAAAGTGCAGCAAATCACGTGAGCACATTGATTAAAAACATGAAAACATTAGGAAAATATCTGTTGACAACGAGTTGGCGGTGCACATGCTTTGCAAATCCTGCAATCGACCGAAATTACGAACCGGATTTCGATTTCATTGCACTATTTTGATTGGACTATGGACTCGTGAGTCCAGCCAAAATATAACTCCATAATATCAGCGAAGTTCGGCAAGGTGCAAAATGGACCCTGGTCCGTGTGACCTCCGTGTTTGCTGACACGGTGAAGGCGATGTGCCTGGTCCGTGTGACCTCCGTGTTTGCTGACGCAGTGGAGGCTATGTTCCTGGTCCGTGTGACCTCCGTGTTTGCTGACGCGGTGAAGGCTATGAGCCTGGTCCGTGTGACCTCCGTGTTTGCTGACGCAGTGAAGGCTATGTGCCTGGTCCGTGTGACCTCCGTGTTTGCTGACGCAGTGGAGGCTATGTTCCTGGTCCGTGTGACCTCCGTGTTTGCTGACGCGGTGAAGGCTATGAGCCTGGTCCGTGTGACCTCCGTGTTTGCTGACGCAGTGAAGGCTATGTGCCTGGTCCGTGTGACCTCCGTGTTTGCTGACGCAGTGAAGGCGATGAGCCTGGTCAGTGTGACCTCCGTGTTTGCTGACGCAGTGAAGGCGATGTTCCTGGTCCCGTGACCTCCGTGTTTGCTGACGCAGTGAAGGCGATGAGCCTGGTCCGTGTGACCTCCGCGTTTGCTGACGCAGTGAAGGCGATGTTCCTGGTCCGTGTGACCTCCGTGTTTGCTGACGCGGTGAAGACGATGTGCCTGGTCCGTTTGACCTCCGTGTTTGCTGACGCAGTGAAGGCGATGAGCCTGGTCCGTGTGACCTCCGTGTTTGCTGACGCAGTGAAGGCTATGTTCCTGGTCCGTGTGACCTCCGTGTTTGCTGACGCAGTGAAGGCGATGTTCCTGGTCCGTGTGACCTCCGTGTTTGCTGACGCAGTGAAGGCGATGTTCCTGGTCCGTGTGACCTCCGTGTTTGCTGACGCAGTGAAGGCGATGTTCCTGGTCCGTGTGACCTCCGTGTTTGCTGACGCAGTGAAGGCGATGTTCCTGATCCGTTTGACCTCCGTGTTTACTGACGCAGTGAAGGCTATGAGCCTGGTCCGTGTGACCTCCGTGTTTGCTGACGCAGTGAAGGCGATGTTCCTGGTCCGTTTGACCTCCGTGTTTGCTGACGCAGTGAAGGCTATGAGCCTGGTCCGTGTGACCTCCGTGTTTGCTGACGCAGTGAAGGCGATGAGCCTGGTCCGTGTGACCTCCGTGTTTGCTGACGCGGTGAATGCAGTGTGCTTTGCCTACCTCGTGCATTTTTACGAGGTGGAGGCGGAATGAGACGGGCGTCATGGACGTTGGAGTAGGGGAGAAACAATTCGGATCTCCCGGTCCACATTCCGCCAACATTTGTAAGAAGTTTCCGCCGTTTCTCATCCTCTTTCTTTCTAGCTTTGCAGAGGGGAATGGGCTTTTTGTATTGAAAAATAGGTTCAAACTGGACATTGACAATAGACATTACGGTAATCAGTGAAACAAAACATATAAGCTATGTGACTCGTCACCAGTTGTGCAATCGGACGATTCAAATGATATCTAGCCCTCTCTCAAGTGTGTGTACACATGCACTTGTAACTCAGCATGACCCCTTGTGCTTAATGTGAGTCAATGTGTGTGCAACAGGATCGATACGTGAACACTAGGGAATGCATAACCAATTATATGATAAATAGTCTTATCGTGATTGCCGTTCCACGGAATCTTGCATGTCCTATTACTGCACAGTACTTGGTAAATTGAACAGCAAAACAGCGTCAGGCATTAAAAAACAAACATTTACTTTCTATGCAACTGGTGTGATTGGCGGGTGCTACCGATAGGGCAGGACGTGCTTCCCCTTTTCGCGAACACATATAGAATTACTGCGAAAGTGTCTATCCTTTGACAATATACGCTCTTTCCTGAAATATTTTATTGTGTGATTGAATATTATTAATGCCGTAGCCAGCAATATTCCAGCTAAACCAGTAGTACGGCTGTCTATAAACCAGTCTGAGGTAGGCACCCCTGTGGTTGATAGCATGAACAACAATCTACACGGCCAGGGTGTAACTGTTCGGATTAAAGAGGTTACATTATTTTGTGATTGAATAACAATGAAATGGAGACTGATCATATAACGGATAGTGCTATTGGTGAGACATACCTGTTCGTGAAGCTCAAATTAAACGTAAGACAGTGTTTCGTCCTACCAGAGGAATACCGCCACTCACACAAATAGTGTAAAAAAGAGTTTGCTTTTGTCTGGCATAGCACAGCAGCAGTCTGCCTCTAAACAACCAGACAAAAGGCCAATTTAAGAAGGTTTGGATAAGAGTTCTTTATTTATACTTGACAACGAGTTCGGCTGATTTTCACTGTGGAGGTATCTGTGAATACAGTAGAAAACAATGACAACGAGTAAGACAACCACTAATGGGGCCTTTACACAGGATGACGACCTTTGTGCATCCCGTGTGCGACCATAAAATTTGCCAGGTCGTCGTTGGAGGCTCAAAGGAGGCAGAATGATTGCCTAGGTCGTTCCAAGGTGGTACTCAGGAGGTTCAGATATTGCCATTGACGCCATGGTCGCCGTGAACTTTTGAACATGTTCAAAACAGCCGCTCAAAGGTCGCCGAGGAGGTGGCTCAAAGAAGGCAGAAGGGGCTCTCAAGCATTGCCGTTGTTGCAGGATGAAGGCACAGTGGTCGCCCAATGGTCGCCAGGTAATAGATGCGTTCTGTTGCAAATTTTCCCATCAATTTGGGCGATGCTTCTGCCTCCCGTGTGCCTTCTTTGGGCGACCAATAGCGTGCATTAAACGATGACTATGGAGACCGCCGTGCCTCCATTCGGTGACCACGGCAACCCTTGAGGCACCATGGCTATGCTTCTGCCTCTTTCCTGCCTCCTTTGACCTACCTGTAGTGCCTCCTCAGCCTGCCTATAAATAGAGGGCTTGTTGTACCTGCAGTGTTTCATTGTGGTTGCAGAGTCAAGAAAGCCTCAAGACTCAATAGACACAAGACATCATGGCGGGAGCAGTTGCATAGAAACAATGATTTTGAGTGGCCTGGCCAGTTTTTGATCGCTCAAAGGTGGCACAAAGGTCGCAGCCCTGTGTAAAAGGGTCTTAACAATGCCCACGTAGTCGACATGCTGTTGACGACGTATGTATATAAAAATGTCACATCCAGTGTGCTGGTAATATTCGAATCAAGATCTCGCGTGGTTGTTGAGGTATTCAGAGACTGCTGTGGCGTAGTAGAGAGGGTTGATGAAGAAACATTCCTTCTCATTGATGGTTGTGAGATCATCGAGCCTGGGGAACAATGACAGCAATTCAAAGTTACAGAACAAATGTAGAGCTATGTACAGTAGGCGACCAGTGGAAAAAATAATGTTACATTAATCTGACATTTGTAATGACACAAGGAAGAGAATATAGATGTAAACTTCTTTATTATGTGGAACAAAATGTTTCGGAGTATATGCTTACTCCTTCATATATTCCGAAACGTTGTGTCCCTCATAATATTGTTGACATCCATATATTCTCTTCCTTATGTGAATCACTTCTAAATGCCTTTCAAAGATTTGTAATGAAGGTTAAATAAACGCATATGACGGGGGGATATGCTAACACCATCCACGTCTTATTCTGCCACTGCTACCATACCAGAAACCTACTTATGGTTCCCTTCATCCGATTGACTGACTTTCCAAGAAAATGTTATTATGACATGTCTCCATAGCACTGTCTGTGATCTAAAAGGGGACACTGTTCACAGTTATATTCTTTAGATGCCAGTGGTAAGAACCTACGTCAGCGTGGGTTTTTTCCTCATATCAAAAGAGACCACCGAGACCAACGTGCTGCCAAAATCGGAATGAAACCATCACATAATTCTGATTCATAGCTACATAAATTAATTAAAAACGATATACCCAAATTAAACCACCGCGAGTTACCTCCCATATACTGCATGTCATTCTCACTTATAAATCTAAATTTTTGCAGTATGCAGTCAACGCTGAATATTATTGGGCGGGAATATTTGTTAGATATTTCTTTGTCTCCAAACACACAAATTCTTTCCCCGAATGGAGGAGACAAACAATTGTTGTTGTTTTTAAATAACAAATTTCAAGTGATTCCGTGGTATTTGTTGAGCAGAGCAATTGTTTTTGCATGCATATTTACATAAACCGAACATATAGGCCACGCCCACTAAAGGATATTGTTTCCTGATTCGCTGATTATAAAATAGGCGGGGCTTGTGTGGTATTATTGTGATGAACGATGTTACTGGTTCTGTTGAGTTGTCCCCCAGCCTTTAGTGTGTTAAAGATTAAATAAGCAATTTGTGAAGTTCTTATTGTTGACTTACTTATTTAAAAAATGACTTCAATATGTTTTTTTACGTCCACGGAGGTATAAACGTAAAACTATTCATCGGTTTTGCTAAATACACTGTGGTGATACGGGGTAGAATAAATCTCCAGAATTCTATTGCTTGTACACAATCCACACTTCAACGACACAGAATGATCAGTCTCGATTATCGGATTCCATGAGGCAAAAATTTTAGTGAACGAAATTATGTGAAATGGGACATTGAAAATCAGTGAACCAGGTATTTGCGAAAATGTCCTGCTCTAAAGATAGTATCATCCACTCATACAATATTTATTAAAAAGTTAGTGCAAGTGATGTGTGAAACGTCATGTATAGGTAACAGTATTGGATAGCATCGCATGCTATTGATCAGTCGTGTGAACTTGATCGCGTGGTCAGACTCGGTGGCTTGGTTGATTGCGTGTCAGTAGACACTGACTTCGTGTGAAGTTGCTCATAAGTTAAACCGTTTGTTAGTTTATCCCGGACTCGAACAATATTAATGGGCGGTCGGGTAGCCTAACCTACATTCCTAGCCTACAAGATGGGATATCGTTCACTGTGGCGTAAAACAAAAGAATCCGCACCCCAGTGCTTACCTCTGTGCGTGGATCATCTTGATGACAGCAGTTACTTCGTTGCGTTTCTCCACCACCACACCAGGCAGGTAACACAGGGGGTTTGCTTGCCCGATAATCGCCACCGGTGCCAGGACGTGGTCGTTGACCCTTAGTCTCCGAAATGGTGTCAGGCCTCCGAACATGTGGATCGCGTCGACCACGCTTTCTGTATTGTTGAGCCAGGTGATGACGTATTTGGTTAAACTCCCACTAACCAACTCTTTTACTGTGCCTGAGTGAAAAGAAATGTTAGCAATTGTTTAATTGTGTGTGGTTGCTTGGAGTAGGGTGGTGTCTCTCTCTGTGGGGGGGGGGCATGATCATGTGTGATGTCTCATGATGATTTAAGATATATATGATAAATTGAACATGAATGATATCATACATTCAAAGCGTTAGGTGTAAAAAAAATGTATCAAATATATTTTTAAATTTAAAAGTTTTAAGTTTCTGATGATATGGACAACATAGATTAACAAGATGATCAGTCTTGTCATTGTAAACGGCAACATAGTGGGAATGATATAAATGGGTCACTGAAAATCATTGATTTACACCAGTTGTTCGCGAAACGGGTAACCATGTCCTGCTCTAAGGTGAGGTGAAATTGGTTTTAACGTTGCGTCCATTGCACTTATACAGCGACGTGTGTGTGTGTCTACTTGTACTTGTCCGGACTGATGCCGATTTATAGTGCTAGCTCACTGAGGTACCATGCCGCAGTTTAACATGAATACCCCACTCAGACACAGTACACTGACTCCGAGCTAACCAGTCCTTGTTTAAACCCTAAATGCTGAGCGCCAAACAGGGTAACAACAAGGACCATCTTTTAACGTCTTTTGGTATGACGCGGCCGGGGATCGAACCCAGGACCTTCCGCTCTCCGGGCGGAGGCTCTACCACTAGACCACGGAGGCGGTCCCTGCCCTAAGGGCAGCATCCGCCACTCACTCAATTTGGATAAAAATAATGTACTCCTTCGATACGACGGGTCATAAACTCATAAACTAAATGCATACAAGGCATCATGAAATACTATCTTTTAGTACTTTTAAAGTCAGTTTAATCTTACACATCTTATACTGATAGAAAATTGCGTCATCACTTTTTAAATGAAACATATTGCCTTTGTCACAATAAGCGTAGAGATATAAACCGTATTTTACGTCAAGCATGGGTTGCTGAAGACCTATTCTACACCGGATCTTAACGGATCGCAGCCTGTTAACAACCGAGACAAACTTGATCTGATAATCTTGTTACTCGACAGTGCATTTACTGATTTTGTTGAAACAGAAAACAATATGTTCATTTTTAATTACTCTGGTACGTACAAATGCAAACCTACGTACAGTGTAGCAAAATACCCAAACGATTAAACGAACCACTTTCGATGTGTTTGTTCATTCATCTGATGAAGGAATAAACATATAAATGTACTCTGAAACGTTGTGTTCCTCGTAATAAAGAAGTTAACATCCATGTATTCTCTCTCTTATCAGAGAATATATTAATACATCGAAACGCTTTTTAAAAAATATATAGATATTTAGAAAATTTCATATGAAAGAATTGAAAAAAAGGATACCTACACATGTCCATTTACACGAACTAACCGTATTACCTATGTGATATTCTCCGTTCTTGTGTTTAGCCAAGACGTCCATTTGTTCCCATTTCTTCGCTAAAGTATTGAGTACTTTCTCGTCATAGACACCCTTTTTCAAAGCTAAACAAGCGATGTAATCTTGTTCCTGGGACACCCTCACAGGCTTGGTCATGTCGGGCAGGCGCACGCTCCATGTCTTGTCACGGATCTCCAACACCGTGGCAGGACAGTAGCTGTTGGGGTACATCGGGTGCATCACCAGCACCTGCACGGAGAAAGTGATCTGAATACATAAGCACCGGAACGGAGAAAGCGGTCGTAAAACATGTCCACCTGCACGGAGAAATTGGTCTTAATACATTAGCACCTGCACGGAGAAAGTGCTCCTAATACATCTGTACCTGCACGGAGAAAGTGGTCTTAATACATTTGCACCTGCATGGAGAAAGTGGTCTCAATACATTAGTGCTCAGAAGTACACAACGAGGTCTTTCTTAGAACAACATTAGTGCTCAGAAGTACACAACGAGGACTTTCTTAGGACAAAGTTAGTGCTCAGAAGTACACAACGGGGTCTTTCTTAGGACAGCAGTAGTGCTAAGAAGTACACAACGAGGGTGTCTCTTAGCACAACATTAGAGCTCGGAAGTACACAACGAGGTCTTTCTTAGAACAACATTAGTGCTCAGAAGTACACAACGAAGTCTTTCTTAGGACAGCATTAGTGCTCAAAAGTACACAACGAGGTCTTTCTTAGGACAAAGTTAGTGCTCAGAAGTACACAACAGGGTCTTTCTTACGACAACATTAATACCTGGACAAGCCACGGAGTGATCTTCGTACAACATCAGCAAAAGACAATAAGATGTTACGACTATCACACGCGAGACGTTTAATCCATGTACCTTGGCCATATGGACATCGCATTTGGTCAAGGTCGCGTTATTGGGGGAAAGACAATACATGCTCACCTTACTGCGCTTCTTGATTGCATCAACGTGCCGGTCTGATTCACAGATTATGTTCTCCCGCCAGACCTTCTCCTGGAAGCCGTTACAGTCGGTGATGATGTAGCTGAAGTCACCGCAGTCCAAGGACACTTTGCCTAGTATATAGGTAAAAGTTACATGTGGAAAAGGGGCAGGTGGAAGAGGGAGGGTGTACATGATATATACCTGGTCGTTTTATATATACATGTCTTCCGTTTCATTGTACACCAGCTAAACATCGTGCATGATCAAGTAGTTATTTATCAAAGTAGTTCTTCCATGGGGATTACTGGTAAGACTCGATGACGTGGTTGATAGCGTGCAAACGTACCCAGACAGATTTGTGCCCATTAAATAAAACACATATAGACATATTTCTGCACATCCGTCTGGGTGAGACAAATCTATCTTGTTCCCTTGTAGTTGCTGTAACATTGTACTGATGTATTCGCAAATACTTGTTTGTTTGTTTCTTGCTTGAAGCAGCACTCAGCAATATTCTTGAAAGCTTCGTGACGGCGGCCTGTAAATAATCGAGCCAAGGCTAGACAAACCAGTGATTGATATCATGAGCAACGTCCGATACATTTAATCGCCTTTCACGTCCACCATTGAATGCTGGGGACCTATTCTATCCCAGGATCCCCACGTTAGGGAGATGGGTTGGGCGCTACTTGCTGTGAGGTGGTAATATGTTAAGGTATCTGCTCTACCTGCGGTACGGTCGTAATGTGTTCACGTACCTGCGCTACCTGATGTAAGATGGCAAAATATTAACGCACCCGTGTAATCTGCGGTAAGATGACAAAATGTTAACCTACCTGTGCTACCTGCTGTAAAGTGACAAAATGTTGACCTACCTGTGCTACTTTGTGTAATATTGTAAAATCTTGACTTAACTACGATACCTGCTGTAAGATGGTAAACAGTTAACGTACCTGTGCGACCTCTATAAGATGATAAACATGTTAACGTACCTGCGATACCTGCTGTGAGATGGTAAAATGTTAACGTACCTGCTACCGACTGTCAGATGATAGCATGAAAACGTACCTGCGCTACCTGCTGAAAGACTTGTGATTTTAATGTACCTGAATAGTACCATCCATCATCCTGGCTCTTGAATAGAACGTCCTCGCCAATCTTCGCGGTGGGTAACAGTCGCCTCAGCCGTATCAGGAGAAGTTCATCTTAAAAACGCGCAACATCAAGTATACACAATGAGGGCTTGACTTTCATCAATACTTTGTACTTCGAACAGAACAATGGGACTCATACGTTCAAATCCAAGGTTCGTTATAGACGATTACCTGTAGCGGAGATTCTCTCAGTAAGACAAAGTGAAAAGGAAGTGAAAAGAACAGCGTACGCTTTTTGTGCTATAAAGATTACGTCAGCGACAAAATATTATATATATTATAAGTAATGTCTGTGTCAATGAAATGGGCAAGTTTCTTTTTATATGTTATTCGTTGTCAGTGTTGTCGTAGCGCAGTTTCAACATTTAACACATAAATATCCACATCCATATTAAATAAGAACTGCTGTTTAAGACACATGTACCATTTGTACACGGGAGAGTGTTGGAGATAAATTTCACTTTATGCACATACATGTATATGTAACAATTATTGTGAATTAATAAAATGTATATTCCTAGGAAATATACAAACTATATATATCCCTATATCTATTTTATATACAAAAAGCTGCTGGGTGTAGCAAATTATTATAACAGGCTCTGTTAAAAAGGATATATACCCATATCTTATGACAAACCGTAAAATTTGTACAATGGGCCCGTGCTCTACAAGTTCCACCAATACGCTTATTATCTACACTTATATTCTATTTGAATGCATTGGGTGAATTATCTATGAAAAATATTAAATTCACAAAGCCCATGTCCATGACGAATTCGCAGGATGTTTAACGATCCTTTGCCACAGTCAGAATAATAAAGAACTTATTGTTGTAGCTGACAAACCTTGACATATAACCAGGGAGAATCTCTAATCTTCCTGGGTTATAGCTTATGGTAGAAGGAGTGACCTACCTTTTGAGATTTCGTCCTGCTTCTCCCTGAAATTAAGTTATTGTGAACTATAAATCTAAATATGCTTTCAACCACGACTACTTCACATGGATTTAAGTTGCAACTCAAGGACCCAGATAACTTTCAATGTACAAAGGGATAACAAGGGGAAATAATTTATCTTATCTTTATACACTGTATATTATAGTAAACGCCATGTCACCCTATCATTATACACTGTATACTATGGTAAACGCCATGTCACCCTATCATTATACACTGTATACTATAGTAAACGCCATGTCACCCTATCATTATACATTGTATACTATAGTAAACGCCATGTCACACTATCATTATACACTGTATACTATAGTAAATGCCATGTCACCCTATCATTATACACTGTATACTATAGTAAACGCCATGTCACACTATCATTATACATTGTATACTATAGTAAACGCCATGTCACCCTATCATTATACAATGTAAAATCTCATGTCACTAAACTACTATTCTAAAATGAAAACTGTTAAACCCCTACGTCTCTTATTTCTATTCTAAACATTAAACTGTTTAATCGCATGTCACTAAACTAATTTATTGCGTTGGAGATATCACTGTTTAATAAACACACAGCTGTATTTTACATCGCATAATAACATCACGTGCACACTATCTTAAATCATCAGCTGGTTATTGCATCTGTACACAACGTTTACTCTGCTGTCAGGCGGATAATAAACTCCTGAGAGGTATAGACAAAATAAGTATGCATCTTAAAACTCGCTGGAACATATTTGAGCTTTTGCAATACACTCGTTGAAATAAATACGATATCTAACATACTGTTAAGTCATCTATACATTCAAAACCATATACTGTTAATTTCCATGTCACTAAAATACTATCCTAAACTATAAACTGTTAAACTCTGTGCCAGTCAATCATTATCCGAAACACTATACTGAAACATCCCATACCACTACACTACTATCCTAAACTGTATACTGTTAAACTGTGTACTAGTCAATCATTATCCCAAACACTATACTGAAACATCCCATACCACTACAATACTATCCTAAACTGTATACTTTTAAACTGTGTACTAGTCAATCATTATCTGAAACATCCCATACAACTACACTACTATCCTAAACTGTATACTGTTAAACTGTATTCTAGTCAATTATTATCCGAAACACTATACTGAAACACCCCATACCACTACGAAACTATCCGAAACTGTATACTTTTAAAGTCTGTTCCAGGAAATCATTATCCGAAACACTATACTGAAACATCCCATACCACTACACAACTATCCTAAACTGTATACTTTTAAACTCTGTTCCAGGAAATCATTATCTGAAACATCCCATACCACTACACAACTATCCTAAACTGTATGCTGTTAAACTCTGTTCATGGAAATCATTATCTGAAACACCCCATACCACTACACTACTATCCTAAACTGTATACTGTTAAACTCTGTTCCAGGAAATCATTATCCGAAACACTATACTGAAACATCCCATACCACTACACAACTATCCTAAACTGTATACTTTTAAACTCTGTTCCAGGAAATCATTATCTGAAACATCCCATACCACTACACAACTATCCTTAACTCTATGCTGTTAAACTCTGTTCCAGGAAATCATTATCCGAAACACTATACTGAAACATCCCATACCACTACACAACTATCCTAAACTGTATACTTTTAAACTCTGTTCCAGGAAATCATTATCTGAAACATCCCATACCACTACACAACTATCCTAAACTGTATGCTGTTAAACTCTGTTCCAGGAAATCATTATCCGAAACACTATACTGAAACATCCCATACCACTACACAACTATCCTAAACTGTATACTTTTAAACTCTTTTCCCGTCAATCATTATCTGAACATCCCATACCACTACACAACTATCCTAAACTGTATACTGTTAAACTCTGTTCCAGGAAATCATTATCCGAAACACTATACTGAAACATCCCATACCACTACACACCTATCCTAAACTGTATACTTTTAAACTCTGTTCCAGGAAATCATTATCCGAAACACTATACTGAAACATCCCATACCACTACACAACTATCGTAAACTGTATACTTTTAAACCTCAGCCCTCTCAATCCAAAGCATAGAAATGTTTATCATGAACATTCGTCTTCTTAATTCGATCAATCATTCTACTAAAGAGGGACCGAATGTTTAATATTCTCGGGGAACGTGGGTTTCTTTCTAAAAAGACAACTCAGAAAGAGATAACCCAGAAAACTTGGGAATAATAGGTTGTAAAAAAAAATTAATTGGACATGCTGGATGTCTTAAAAAAGAGTTGTAAAAAACAGTTAACTAATTTGCATACGTTTCAAGCAGGGAACGAAAAGGCCAAAATCTCAGGTCCCAGTAAAATATTTAATGGTCGGTCCACAATAGATATCATCTATAAGTTTATATGGAGAAACAACAGTTTGTGATAAACAGTATTCATGATCAGAGTCTTGTCAGTATATTACCATATACATTCAGCAGCCAAAAAATCTCAGCCTCTGCACCAAGCAGCACGACAAAAGGGATCATTTCGATTTTGTAATCGTAAATTTCCCTCATGTCGAGCAATATGTATAGCAGAAACTATTTCTACTAGGGATTACCAGCGATTGTAAACCCTGACATGAGGTGACATACCCCCGTCCTGTACTGGAATATTGCTGAGTGCAGCGTAAAACAACAAACTGAACCCGAACTACAATATATTAGAACCGTTTAACAACCGAAATTGCATAAATCTACGTACTCTTCATGCCCTGGCCATGGATACAAGTCAATCCGCTTGACCTCTCTCTGAAATAAATAACACAAAACATTAACTATAATTTAACCAATTTCTCCATATTTTACAAAAGAATATTTTTACGGGGAAAACGCAAACAAATTGTTTTTTATTTTTTTCTATCAGACGCTTTGACATTCGAATTCTGAATCTCAAATGTCTCATGCCACACAACAGACAAGATTCATTAAGATATACGCTGCTGTGAAAATTGACCACAAAAGGTCAATAAAGTTGGAAACTTTATAACCCTCTGTTAATGGGGGATGAAGCTTCAAGCCACATGCTAATCAAGGGGGTGAATTCGAAATTTGAACCACTTAATAACCGTAGTAATAACTTGACGCAAATGAACCACGACATGTGTAGAGAAACCGGCTTTCTTCTCCCTAGGGTAAGGAGGGTCTAACGGTTTCATTAGTGCCCCGGGCACCTGTCGGGCACACGTATAAAGTACACACAGTAAACTGCAATAGGTCGTTTACATTTGCAACAATAACTAGGAAATTATTACACATCTTTCACTCATGTATTCTTAATAAAGGACTTGAAGAGGTAATATCCCATGGTTGCAATGAGTAATAAAAAATTATGTTCAGTAAAAAAAAACATATATGCAGTATATAGAAAGAACATAGTTGTCGTAGCGCACTCACGAACAGTTTGAATGAGATAAAAGTGACTGGTAGTAAGCTAGAGTGTGCGTGTATGTTTTTATCCAAATGATGTATTACATTATATGCAACCAAAAACTAAATAACGAAAAAAATCAAACACAGCGAAACGAACACCATTGGTCCGGAGACTTTGTATTATAATTAACGGGACATTACCGTGTTCCCATGGTTCGTTATTCTGGTTTGCTTAGCTCGAATCGGAACAGTCCGAATTAACGGAGTGCATATTATTAACATTATATGGACGACATTCTTCAAAGTTCTCATTTTTACATCCGACACATGATCTTATTATATTCGGTTAATATGTCATGTATGGTTAATGAGACAAAAGAGACTGGCGATTTGTTTGGGAGTTCGTGTGATTTTAACCAAATGAAGAGTGGCGAGGAGCTACAGTAATATTTATGTGTCTGAAAGTACGCAGCTTCTATAAAACAAAAAATACCTCGATGGACGTATATTTTCAGAAAGAGGTTTGTTCTTTTCATCATGTCTATCAAAACGAAACATTGACATTAATCATAAATTGTTAATTTCAAATGCGCCATCAAGACATTTACGGGTGACGTAGTATCCCAAGTCCAAATAATATAAAGCAGCTTTATGTATACAGTAGATCTTCAACCTTCTGTAATACCTACATTCACAAAACTGTAACATGGAATTCAAGTGTCATATTCTGTACAGTTCGGATTAAAGAGGTTTATGTTTTCATAGTCAGTCATGAGGTAACATTCAACATGTAGCATCCTTGTCTACCTCTGTTCATAATGTTTCTTGTTGTTGCACTATTTTGTGAGCATAATCGTATGAACATAGATGCATACTAGGCCATAACAACAACAACATAAACAAATTGAAAAAGACTTTTTTTGTCTTCATCTTCAGCAATGGGCGATTGATTGCTTCATCACAGTCTTTATGTAACAATGCATTGCCAACACATGCATATTTATGTCTTATATCGCCAAGCCTCTTCATTACAGTATTATTAATATTAATTTATGTCCATCGTATTTATATGACACGTTACCACCCAAAGTATTAACTATAAGTAGATATGAGTTACGAAATAAGAACAATATATGAATAAGCCGCATGCACGAACAGCTACATACTAGCAATCATTTAACACCTTCTTCAATCTAACTATGGAATGAATTACCCCCCCTGAATACAGAAGTGCAACATCATTGTCAAATTTTAAACAGATGATTAAAACAACTATTGCAGCTCCACCATACTTCTCAACCGACAACCGAAGAGCTAACAGTTTACATACACGTCCAAGACACTCTTGCTGTTCCCTAAACGCAGATCTCTACATAGTAAATTTATCTGATAATTTGTCCGGCTCTTGTGGAAAACCATGTGAAAACAACATACACTTCTTTCTTGAATGTCCCAGTTACACTATTCCCAGAAATATCATGTTGGCTAACATTATAACAGCTGGAACTACATGTACAATACAAAATCTTTTTCTACGGTGATGTATCTCTAGCGGAAGGTCACAATAATCTCATTTTCAACAACGTTCCAAAATACAATGTAAATACTGTCGACTAATAGATTCGAGTTAATCGTTTTCATTTATATAGAATATCGCTTTGCGACCACTTATTATTAATTACGACATTAGTGTATAAACTGCATGCAAATATATGAATACAGGGGTATGTCGGCCTCTGTAAGCATAATGCATATGGGTATGTATATGTCTGTATGTTAGTGTATGTGTGTAAGTTTATTTATGTGTTATATGTATGTGTGAATATGTGGGTGTATGTATGTGCATGTGCTTGTGTATATGTGTGTGTGTTTATATATATATATATATATATATATATATATATATATGGATACATATGTATGTGTGTACATGTATGTATATGTGTAGGTATGTACTGTGTGTACAGCTGTATGTGTGCATGTTTTTAGATGTATATGTGTATGTATCTGTAATTATATATGTAGGCTTGCATGTGTATTTGTGCTTATGTATTTTTGTATTTATGTGTATATACAAGTAAAATGTGTTCATATGTTCGTGAATGTTCTTGTTGCAAACATTATGTTAAAAAAACATGTTTATGTTTTTCAGGTGAATATATTTCTCTTTGTAACTTTGTAATATAATAATAATTTATAATAATATATTACAAAGTTACAAAGAGATATATATTCACCTGAAGTAACATAAACATGTTTTTTTAACATAATGTTCGTAAGGAGAACATTAACGAACATATGAACATATGAACACATTTTACTTGTATATCATCAATGTCTGTACATATGCATTAGGGAAAGGGCCGCCCACATGTAAGTTGGATAACTTTTGCCCAATCCCGTTGACCATATATTTCAATAAAATATGTTGAAAACAAACAAACAATTAATTATTCTGGAGACAACATTTATTTTGTTGTAAAGGGATGGTTGTTTTGCTTTACATAACATCGTGTACCATGTCATCATCAACAAGAATAGAAATACTTCAAATTATAAAGAGGCAACTAGAAGAACAATTATTTGTTGTTGTAGTGACTCTAAGTCACGAAATAGTTATAGCTTATACCATCTGGTCAGGGAAAAATAAAACTAGTTTTGTATACAAACACAGTTCCACCGCGCCATCACGATGCATAGGCCGAATAGTTATTACATTTGCTGGTTAGATTAGTAAGAACCGATACACCATGATGCGTCATAGTCAGAGAGGAAAACAACTTTCATCAAAATACATTATAAAAAAAATGATGTTGCCAGTTTCCAAGAACGTTTGTGGCGGCCATCTTGGATTTCAATATCGGTCATATTTTAAAATATAACTGTCTTTGATATTGTGACACATAGGCTTCATACATATCACACGAAAGCTCCTTTTTGGCCGATATTTTCTTAAATTAACTTCTTACATATAATATAAGTATAACATTTATCAACGACGGATGTCTACTTCGAAAAAAGCCTTACAAATGTGACGAAATTTACGACAAAATGTACGAAATATACGAATCATATATAAAAAAATAATTATGCATATGAAAACTTTCAAAGCAATGTTTGTTATTTTACGGCATATACATATTATGTTTCTAATACTGCTATGAACAAGTACACGAAATAAATATGTAAAAAAAACGTTCAACGTTTATTAAGAGTGTCATTGCAGGTATGTTGGTTTTGATTGAGTGGTTTCAATGCCACGTTCTTCAGTAAGGCGTTGTTCCTTTAATCGTAATTAAATATTTACTCCTTAAAACTCAGTATAAAGAAATATACAGACCTCCCCCTGCTAACGACCCTCCCCTGCTGGGTGTGAGGTAACACTATTATCAGACTCAACCACTTTCATGGAAGCTGATTTCATGACGGGGCAGCCATTGTCTCTTTAACGACACCGGTGATGGCATGGCCCCTCGTTAAGCTACAGTTAAACTTTACGACATTAACTGGCCGGGTATATAAGCCTGGCATCACAGAGACCAGACACATCATCTCAGACAACATGAAGGTAAGAGAAACATGCCTAAACCACTTGTATCGATATCCTCTCTTTGCTTAGTTTATACTCAGGTGATTCTGGTGATATACATTGGTGATTCACGAGTATTTGTCAGAAGAATGTAGTTTTATACTCTTGTTTTTAGTAATATACAGTTTCAGTATGTTCTCACTTTCCATATTGTTTCGCCAATGTTGAGAAAGGAAAACAAATTATTCTGGTTCCATCCGCGTATGCCTCATTTCCAGGTTTTTATACCCAAGGGTGGATAACTCTAGAGAGACTACTACTGATGGCCATCATGATTGATGAAACTATAAATCATTATGCATTGTTCTTTAATTTGTCATATAATGAATAGTCACGATCCGATAAATAACTGTCATCAGTCCCGGACAAATTCTGCAATTCCGCGATCGCTGAAAGATGTTCAGAAAATGTAGCTTACCGCAGAATTGCAGAATAATCGCGGAATTTGCCTTTTTTATGGATCAATACACTATGTTTCATTATTTTCAAGCTTTTGAATAGAATTTTGCACTCGAATGATGCCGAGACATTTAACATGCGATTCAAACATACACAATCTGAATCCTACAATAAAACAAAATTTGAAATAAATAATTCTCACTTTTAACGTTCTTGTGGTATTGTGACAACATAAACTATGATTATATGTAACCATAACTATATATAAGCGGCACTATTCATATCTATTTGCATAATTATATGTCTTGAAAAATTTAAATGCAAAAGTATGAATCCAGTATAAATGTTTAACCTAATTACCAACCAATTTACCCGATTGTTACATTGGAAGATGTTTACATACACTACTCAAAGAAGTTAAAGAAGACCCGATTCTTTCATATGCATGGCATGACAGATTAACTATAGCAATATGAACGAATCGTGTGTTCTATAACAGTCTCTTCTTTGAAGTAGAATAGATACACCTGGAAAATAAGCACCACTAACTACATATTTCAATATAAAACTGACGACATACATGTTTATGTTTACATAATTATCTTATGACATGTTTTGTTAGTGTTCCGTAACAATAGATGTTTAACAACCATTTTATTTGCTCCTTATGTCGCTTTGCATCATTTGACTGAACTAGAGAAATTGCACTTGTGAAACTGGCGGCATATTTGTCTTCTTGCGCTAATGTTTCAGTATAAGTGATATGAGACATTTATCTTGTGAGACATTTAGATATTCCCAGTGATAAATGGCAGTGTCGGAATTTATGATCATAGAGAAGGGCTGGTGATTTTTAGGTGTATATTGTATATGCTATTTCTCAGAGAAACTTTCATTAAATCACGCTTAAAGAGAATGATCTCACAACTCTCTATCTAAACAACCTCGGTAAGAGATCTACAAACATATTGCACACTAGATTGAGACACAATTGTAGCACACTAAATTCCGACCTGTTTCGTGTTAATTGATCTGATACTATTTCCTGTAAATGCGGAGCTCCTTGTGAAAATTCATTCCTTTTCTTCTTCGAATGTACCTTATATGGTGATCTTAGGGAGACATTACTGACAGCTATCGTTAATCTTTGAGGACAAAAAACTCTACATAGTATTCCTTTTGGTGATCCAAACTTAGATGTTTTCCTGAATACAAAAATATTCATGTCTGTACACAAATTTATAGAAACGACTAACAGATTCAGTAACTAGCATATTATTGTTTCCAAATTATTAATCATTAATATTGTTAAATCTATATACAACACTAACATGTACATGTATAATATTAGCATATGTATGAGATACACACTGTCATCACTTTCCAGCACATTGTACATATCCTTCATATGAGCACTGTATATTATATTGCACACTATGTTTCCACAATGTGAAGCTTCAACTGTAAATTTTTCATTTTCATTATGCAATATTATGTATAACTGTATATAGGGAGAAGGTGATAATAAGTGCTGCACTTGTGCCCAATCCCTTTGTCTTTTTGGACAATAAAATATGTTTAATAATAATAAAACAACCTCGAATTAGTTATATCGCATAAAGTCTCCACATCAGAGACAAATATTAAACATGTAAGCTCATGCTATGGAAAAAACACTTTTTAGCATTTAACACTGAGCGTTTAAGTAACACGTAAAACAATGGAGCTATAAGTATATGAACCGTGATAGGCTGCACTGATGATTTCCAAACAGTTTTCCAAATCTCCGTGTATGTGTAAATTCTTAACAACATGCTTTAAACGACGTCAGCTTCATTATCCTTTTTGTATTTTTCAGTGTCTCCCCGTCGCCGTCGTCGCTCTGTGCGTCGTTACTGTCTCCAGCATGTCCTACAACAACAACTTTGGCTCTGTCGGACAGGTCGGCCACGTTGCCTCGGGTCTCAACGACTACGGCAAGGGGCAATATGGAGGCGCAGAGGGTCTTCGTCGTTACGGAAGCAAAAACAGCGCTGCCAATGCCTACAACAAAGCCGCCAACAACTACGCCGCCCACGGTAACAACTACCACAAGGCTGCTGATCAGGCTAGAGCAAAGGGGGACACCGCCTCCAACTACTACGGCCACAAGAACGCTGCTCACGCTGACAAAGCCTCCGGTGCTGCCGCTCAGGCCAACAAAGCCAACTACCACGATGCTGCCGCCGCAAACTACGCCAGGAAGGACGACGCCTCCAAAGCTGCTGCCAACAACGACTACGCCAACAAAAACTACTACCGAAAGGGGAACGTATTCAACACCGGAGTCCACTACGGCTTCGACAAGAAGTACAACAAGAACGCCGATGAGGACGGTGACTACGAAATTCTTGATGACAGCAGTGCCCACAACCTCGACGAATACCGTGATAAGAACAAGGCTTACAGCACCGCCAACAGTGACCACGCCGCCAACAAATATGCTGCTGATCGCTCCCGTGCTCTGAAAGACAGCAAGTACGGTAAAGACGCTTACAAGGCACAATACGGTAACGGCAAATACGGCTCTGCTGCTAGTCAAGCAGCCAAGAACGGTGCTGCCAACCACGGTTATGACGGTAAACTGAACGAGGCAGCCGGAAGCAACAAGTACTACACCGACGCCCACGATGCTGCCATCAACAAACATGATGAGTTCACCGGCAAGAACGCCTACTACGATAGAAAGAACGCCGCTAATGCCGCTGCAAAGGCTGCCCACAACGTTGCCGGATATGGAGGACTCGCTCATGGTGGCTACGGTGTCGGTGGTGTCGCTGGTTCTCTGGGTGTATCTGGAGTAGGATACGGAAAGGGCTACGGTAAGCAGTACGGTCAGGGATACAGCAATGGCTATCTCGGACATGACGCACACAACAACAAATACTACGATGCTGGCGCCCACGGTAAACACGCTGACCACTATGACGGTGCATCCAATGCCGCTCTCGCCAAAACCGGAGGATACGGATCCAAACTGGGTGAATCCAGCCGAAACAAGGCCGACGCCGCCTATAAGAGAAACGGCTACAACAACGCCCAAGCCAACGACTACTACAAGTCTGGAGCTGCTGCCAACAACAACAACGCCTACAGAGTCAACAAGGACGGTGCTGCTGCCAACAACCACGGCTTCAGTCACGCCGGTGCCGACGCTGCCAGTCTCTATGACAACAAAGCCGCTGCTCACGACAATGCCAACTCTGCTTACGCCAAGGACAACTTCAGACGTAAGTACAACGAGGGTGCCAAGAAACACCATCTGGTCAAGAAGTTCCACCACCATTCTAAAGCCGACGGCAATAACTACGAGCGTCTCAACTACGACAAGAAGGACTACAAGGACAACTTCGGCCAGAACGCCAATGCTGCTCATGCCAACGCAAAGAAATACACTCAAAAACTGTACAAGAACGCCGCCAATGCTGCCGCCTCTAACAATGATAAGTATGCTGCCAACCACGCCAACAAAGCCTCCAACTACTACGATGCTGCTAATGCTGCCAACGGCAACGCCGCTAAGAAATCCAACTACTACAACAAAAACGCCGCTGCCTCTGCTGGTGCTGCCAACGCTGCTGCCAAGTCTTATTATGGCAACCACAACAACGCTGCTGCTACTAATGCCAAGAGTCTCAACGACTACTCACACAACCAGTACGGTAACAACGGCCACGCCTTCAACGCCGCCCACGGTGGTGCTGCTCACCATGCCGGTGCCGCCCACCACGACGCTCCCAGCTACGGTTACGGCGTCGGACACGGAATTGGAGGAGCTGGACATGGAGTTGTCGGCCTTGGTCACGGTGTTGGAAGCTTCGGTAACGGTAATGGCGTCGGCGTCGGTAGAGGAGTTGTCGGCCTTGGTCACGGTGTTGGTGGATACGGTAATGGGATCGGCGTCGGTAGAGGAGTTGTCGGCTTTGGTCACGGTGTTGGTGGATACGGTAATGGAGTCGGACACGGAATAGGAGGAGCTGGACATGGAGTTGTCGGTCTTGGTCACGGTGTTGGTGGATACGGTAATGGCGTCGGCGTCGGTAGTGGAGTTGTCGGCCTTGGAAACAGTGTTGGTGGATACGGCAATGGGGTTGGACACGGAATTGGAGGAGCTGGACATGGAGTTGCCGGCCTTGGACATGGCGTTGGTGGATTCGGTAACGGAGGTGTCGGCCTTGGGAGAGGCTTTGGTGTTGGTCAAGGTTACGGAGGTTACAACAAGTACCCATACTACGGGTAAACGGTCACATGTGGTTGACTTTATTGAACACCATCCTCACCTCACAAATCATGTGGCCAGTGTGCTTGATATGAATGAAGAAGTTTGAATGCTTTTTTACCTCACGTTTTATGTGTGTGTACCGTGTGTTTAATTGTTTTTTGTAACCAGCAAGGTACTACCACCAGATCTGATCAGAAAAAAACAACCCATTAGATTTTCAAAAAAAATTTACATTATATTGATATGAATAAGGGTCATTCGGAACCTGTTAAGTTTTTTTCTATACTAATTGCCGAAATGTCTATAGCGAAATAATTGTTCAAACAAGGCGGTATTTCAAACACATTTCAGAAGACGTAAGCCATTTCCATATATACATGTACGATGCCTTTCGAATAGGTTGTTTTGTTACTTTGTACTTTGTACCTCGTTTTTCTGTTGTATTGTGATTTATGTCTTACTTTTACCCAATCGTAAGAATAAATGTTGTCTGATAAATATGCTCTTCGTGTATTATATACAAATCATGAGAAACGGAGATACAATGCCGTGACTGAATGGAGTCTTACACCGCTGTCAGCACATGTCAGGGTGCTCTCAATCAGTTCCTGACCACCTTCGTGGTCTAGTGGTAGAGCGTCCGCCCGGAGAGCGGAAAGTCCGGGGTTCGATACCCGGCCTCGTCATTCCAAAAGTCGTTAAAAGATGGTACTTGTTGTTACCCTGTCTGGCGCTCAGCATTATGGGGCTAAAACATGGACTGGTCGGCTCGGAGTCAGTATACTGTGTCTGAGTGGGGTATTCAAGTTAAACTGCGGCATGTCATCTCAGTAGGCTGGCACTAAAAATCGGTACAAGTCCGGATAGTACAAGCCGACACACACACATGCATGCACGTCGCAATATAAGTACAACAATCTTGGATGCGATGTTAAACCCCATTTCACCGCACCTCACCTCAATCAGTCCCTGAACAGACATCCGTTAAGAAGTTTGCGTGCGACACATTGTGTAAGCCAGGATATACCTCAGCATGTTCTTAAGTGAATTCGAACATCCTGTCCGGGCCATTTTGGCCACCTGGTTCCCTTTGAGATCGTCTTTTGCGCCTAACGGGGTATTAGGAACTCGCTCTGTCTCTCCATTTATCACGGGATCAGAAACTAGTGTTTGTCACAAAGACAAGGGACTACATGTTACTGCTCATCTGTTAGATCAGAGCAAAATTATTATTTCGGATTCTCCTTATTGTCGTTTCTGATCAGGAACAGACTACTTCATTGCAATTATAAGTCTGCCAAATACATATGTATCCCTAGGATCAACTCTGCTAAAGGGGGACACGGGTGGCCCAGTCGTCTAAGGCGCCGCGATTCGCTGTGCAGAGTTGCGTCCCTTGGGCACGCCGTAAACCTATGATTGTTGGTTCGAATCCCGGTTCGCCCCGATTATGTTTCTAGGTTTGTCAGCACCATACTGGTGTCAGCTCATGGGTTTCACCGAAGTGGTAAATGTCTCAGACCTGCATCACTTCGGGCTTTCCTCCCACATTAAGCTGACACGCCGTGATATAACTGGAATACTGTTAAAAGCGGCGTTAAGCCCAACTCACACTCACTCACTCTGCTAAAGACAATTAATATGTGACAATTATTCACTTTGATTTGAACACCCGGTGTCTAATCGACTAGGTGCAAGGATCCTATGCCATCAATCGCACGTGACACGTGTTCCCTGAGCCAGTCGTGCATACACTTTATTCCTTGGACCAATTCTGGTATGTTTGTCAATCATCGAAATATCACTAGTCATCAGAGTGGGTGAGTGAGTATGGTTTGACGCCCTTTTATCAATATTCAAGCAATATCACGGCGGGGAACAGCAGAAATGGGCTTCACACATTGTACCCATGTCGGTAATCGAACCCGGGTCTTTGGCGTGACGACCGAACGCTTTAACCGCAAGGCTCCGGGCCCACTAGGTCATCAGACCTATTGTGAGCTAACATGGTCCTAGTCTAGGAATAATACCTGTTCCTTTCATTCACTTTTTGCCAAATTATTCAAAACGCTAACAGGTCACGTAAATGTGCACACTAGCACACTTAACAAAATACATGTGTATACAGATGTTAGTTGCAGTTGTTAGAGGCAGAAGATCACAGCCTTAACACCACCGAAACACAACATCTTCGTGATCTAAATGTTTAGATTTTATACGTTTAATTACTAAAATCTTTAGAAATTAAACATGCTAAGAGTTTAAACACGTTCAGAATTTACATGTTGACAAAAAAATGCTTATCATTTTGTATTATTCTAATAATCTAAACGTGTTTAGAATTTAAACACGTTTTAATAAAGTGCATATGAGTGGACATTAAGTCAAATATTGATAAGAAGTATGCCATACAGTAAACTGCGTTTATAACGAACATGCTTAAAACATCGGACATAACGAACCTTTTTGGGGTCTCGTCCATTTGCTGAATATATGCATATAACGAACTACGGTTATAACGAACTAAATTTAGAGGTCCCTTTGTGTTCTTTATAACCGTACTTTATTGAAATTAGATGTGCAAATCAGATTCACAGGCACTTGTATAACGCATGTACCACCAGCACAGGAAATTGGTACAACATTAACATAAATATGTACATATACACTGAGCTAACTTAATGGTCTCTAGGAAAATTGACATTTGTAGCAGAGGTGGTAGGGTGACGAACTACAAATCAAGAGGTTGAAGGTTATTATGCCGAGTTTTTAAAATTGTTGTATTTATAAATATGTTTTTGCTGTATGACTAAACGTATTTCTGTCTCACAAGAAACGGAAGCTGACAATGAAAGTATATCTGAGTAATATATATGACAGACCCATAACTTGTTTTCAGTTACCCCATACATATATCTCCATAAAACGCTAAAACACATACAGAAAGCAAGTCTTTTCCAACTATGAATTTCAAGACGGGGACAGAGGTATTTCCCACTTTTAGACCCTAAACATGTTCATATCCTTGAAAATGTTTGGACCTAAAAAAGTTTGTTCAGGTTTTGTTTTTACAGAATGGTTTAGAAAAAATAGAAATGAAGACAGAAAAAAAGTTGAAACAACATTGCCAAGTGTACATTTAGTGAAGTAAATAAAAAGATCCAGGGTATGAGAGGTAGCAACGCCTGCCAACTTTCTTTTAATTACATTTCTTTTTTAAATCGACAGAGCGATGCAGCATGTGTTAGATCAAAAATGACTCTTTTTCTTATCCACATTATTCAAGATACGAGGCCTATTAAACAATCCGGTATGATTGAAGGGGTGGACATGCTTCTTATTGTACTGATTATAAGTCCATGGTAAATGTACAAAAAATGTTTCTCAGCATCATAGATAGCATACAAATATTTCAGCGCGATCAGTTACTTGTGGATTTTTCCGCGGTGAGAATCATACTTCTAGAAATGAAAATATTGTCCGGATTTTAACGTTTGTGGTCAGAGTTATCTTTCCTTTCATATACAATTCCGCCATTGTGTTTTTACGAGTCTTAATTAGTTTTCTGCCTACTGGGATATAATGAGGGAAAATGAGACTAGTAACCTGTCTTTGCAAATTGACCCATGATGAAAATATCTTATGCCCACTGACTATTTTTGTGTAAATATATTGCGTTATGGTTACACTATATCAAGCGATCAAAAGTTTATTCTGCATCGTCCTGTTCAGTACCTGCTCAGTCTGTTCATGTTTGATACAATATTTCATAAAAGCTTATAATAAACATACATTCAGGCCGGCGGGCGATAGTAATATTTCAATATACCAATAAATTAATCTGATCTTTGAGTCAGTCTATATGTAGTTATTCATTTTCAATGAGTATAGATACATGTATGTCATATAGGTTATACTATTGTCTTCAGTGTAGGCATTGTCCTCAAGGGATTTAGTTTTGGGATAAATAGTAAAGATGCCTTATTATTAAAATCATTTATACAAGAATGGTAACCATGATATCATAGTTTACAAAAAGATTATACCATCTTGTTAAAAATAGAAACATTTAAGATTTAATAGAACCATTTAAGTAGAAGCAGTTGATGTACAGTGAGCGTGTGAGTTGGGTTTAACGCTGGTTTGAACAGTATTCCAGTTATATCACGGCATATCAGCTTAATATGGGAAGAAGGCCCGAAGTGATGCGGGTCTCAAACGTTTACCACTTTAGTGAAACCCACGGTGCTGTTTAAAAAGAAACAGCCGGGACGAACCGGGATTCGAACCCACAATCATAGGGTTCCAGCCTATCCAAGGGACGCAACTCTGCTTAATATGGGAAGAAAGCCTGAAGTGATGCAGGTCTCAGACGTTTACCACTTTAGTGAAACTCACGGTGCTGAGAAAAAGTAAACAGTCGGGACGAACCGGGATTCGAACCCACAATCATAGGGTTCCAGCCTATCCAAGGGACGCAACTCTGCTTAATATGGGAAAAAAGTCCGAAGTGATGCATGTCTCAGATGTTTACTACTTTGGTGAAACTCATGGTGCTCACTCACCTAGAAACATTCGGGGCGAACCGGGATTCGAACCCACAATCATAGGATTCCAGCCTAACCTAGGGACGAAACTCTGCACAGAGAAATGCGGCGACTTAGACAAATGAGCCACCCGTGCCTCCGATGATGTATAACATACATAGTCAGCATAATATTACTGAACACAAGGGCAAAAACAGATACTAATACATAAGTATATGGCATACATGAAGCACCGAAGAAAATAATTATACCTGCAGTAATCCTATCATAACTATCATCAATATTTTCATATCTGTAAACATGGTAAAGGCTTAAAGTTACTCAGAAGCAAAAATAACTACAAGGTAATACTAGACGAAATAACGAATGCCGGGAAACACATCCTTCCAGATGAAGACTATGAGAAACATCTATACACAAATGGTCAGGGGGCCGTTGCATAAAGCACTTACGATGCATCGCAAGCCTTCGACGTGGCTTTCTTTTTGATGTGTGGTATCTGCAACGGTCGCATCCTAACTTAGATTAGGGCTGCTAGGTATTCCAAAACAACATCGCAGACGCCAATTCCCGCGTTGTTTATTCAATAAATATAAGCTACAAAACCAGTTCCATATTCATAAGAAATCTCTGAAACCATGTATGACAATATCATGAGCATGTGTCACATAGTGATGATACCCGGTTTTTCAGATATTTCACGTAAATGTGAGTACTCCAGTGTGGGTGTTCTCTGAGTGCTGGCTAAGCGACAGTACGATTCAATATTTGGATATTTAAGATATTTTCAAATGAAAATCAAACATACAATATAATCAACTGAGAGGTATCATTTCATATGATCCAATGTGAGCTTTAACGATGTTTATGTTAACGTAATACATAATTTTTTAATGAGAACTAAGAAACAGATGGCCATTGTTACGTGTCGATTCCAAAATTGAAGTGAGT